AACAACCGAAATGGCATTAAAGAAATATTCCTGTTGTACCTTGAAACACAGGCACTTCTCCCCGCGAGTCCACGAGTCCACAGTGGATACTGCAGCTTGTGTGATCTTCATGCTTTATGGAGAGCAGATATCTTGCATATCTATTGCTTGCAGGCTTCTTGGAAGCCATATCTAATTAATAGATAATCTATTCCCCCCCAGAGCCTCCACGAGCAATGTGTCCTCTGAACTGTGTGGAGTTGTTCAAGCAGATAAGTCAGGACATCGTGTATTCAGATCAGCATTACAAATAAAACAGTCATTGCTCGGAATCATTTTGTCCCTCCTCGGATTTTGTCAGAAGCTCAAAATACAACTCGGCATTGAAACTGGTTATTCACTCCAGCTGCATTATTACTCTTTTTTTAGACATAAAGACTCATATATACTCAAATGTAATTCACAGGGGGGGTATAGATCTGTTTCTCTCTCAAAGTTCCAATGAAGGGCTTTTCTTTATAATGTTTTTAAAAGGGAGGGGGGGGTGTGTTTGTGTGTGTGTGCGTGTGTACTAGAGTGTGCATAATCGTATGCGTGCATGTGGGAAAAGGAGCCTTGTCTGTGGGGGAGATGAGTGGACGTGCCTGTGATGGACGGGTCCCTGTTACACCGCTCTCATTGATTTTTCTCACGCTGGGATGCAGTCTCAGGATGTAACACACACACTGTACTCGCCCACATGCACAGAGACACACACAGGGAAGTGTAGATCACTTAGTGACCCCCCCCCCCTTCTCCCCCCCCCCCCTCCTCCACGCTGCAGCGTCTGAAGTGGAGAAAGCCTAACAGCGGCAGCGTCTCGGCCCGTCACTCAGCGCGCGGCCGGAGAAATTCGACATTACTTTGCCGACGCAGAGGTCTTTGTAGCGCTCGCTCTTAATATTTGAGAGAAGCAGACGACGTCTTGGGGCTCTGATATCAAAGGCAAAAAGCAACTGGTGGCTTATGTAACATATGATGAGCATAAACTATAAGAAAAAATGCAATGGTAATATCTCACGGGGGCCCCTTCATCACCGTTATCACCATTACGTCTGTGTACTCATTTGATGTTCTTCACTTTACTCTCTGTGGCCTTCCTTTTAACTGCAATATAAAAGTACAGCATCATAGACGTTTTTAGTGCAGAATAATACATTTATTGTGCCATAAATTATGAAGGTAGAAACATTTACATTTATTTGATAATGTATTTAATACAATTTGGCAGACAGTGGATTCCACACGTCCAACAAGTGCCCACAACTGTTTCCACTGTTGCTGAGGCTTTTCTTTCTGTTTCCTCAAACACTTAATGCTTAACGTTTCTTCGAAAGTGAGTCAATCATGGCTTCGCAGTTACACGGGGGAAAACAGAATATAAGGTTTTTCATAATAT